TCCATAATACCCTTAAGGTCCAATGACTAGCTTGGGCTTTCCCCTCCTCTTGGGTTATGATTTACACCTGAATACCCTGTAAAAGGGTCCTAAATTTTTTTTTTCCTTTCTTTTTCTTTTCCCTTTCCCCTTTCTTTCTCCTTTTTTTTCTCCCTTTTTGCGTCTCAAACCCATCCTAGTGTGTATAATAAAATGTTTCTATCTATGTTTGAATAAAGAGTATTCGTAATTTACAGCGGGGAAGATATAGGATTAAGAAGAAATACATTCCTGTAGTCTGCTCATTGATTCCATTAAAGATTAAATATATAATACTTAGCCCCCTATAGTGATTTTGATCATCTCTTCATTGCTCAGGCTAGTAATTCTATTCTTAGCAGTAGTTGGAATTTACAAGACAATCTAAAGGGAAAAAAGATCTTTATAGTCTTGGACTTAAGATGATTATATCAGAAGATTCCAAATATCCATTTAATTTAATGTATAACCCACTTCCTGAGAGACATTCTATAAAACAGTTCTCTAAATCATATAAGCAAATAAATGTTGCACAAAGTTAAAAAAAATACCCTTGTGGCTATAAGAGGGGAAAAAAATTATAATATAAATTACCTTGTTTGGTAGGAAGTGTGAAGACTCCTCAGTGTCTTCTTAAACGTAAATATAAAACAATATAAAAAATGCACAACCCAAAAATATAAAGCAAAGAGAGACCGCAATAGTGTAGATAAAATTTTTTTTATAAAATATAGAAAAGACTAAAATGCACTCACAAACATAAGGATAAAATAGGCGGGGTATATGAATCTTTTCAAGTGCTTCTTTTCTGCTCCTGTTCCAGAGTGGAGGCTTAGGACAAAGCACAAAAGCAAAACATAGTGTATAGCTGTATGAATAAAAGGATAACTTTATTGTTTGCACTTACAAGATAAAAGCAGTAAAAAGGCTCATCAAATCACTAGACGTCTTCCCAGTCAGGAAATAAATGACCTTCAGGGTTTGGAGACGAAGTAGATAATAGAGTCCACAATAAGATAATAAACTGAAGAAATCCTGCCACCCTACGCGTTTTGTCTTAATGACTTCATCAGGGGCATGTGGCAAATTACATACACAACACACTAAGCACAGTTTTTAAATACCCCGCTAAAAATCCATGTAGCCAATCAAAATCCAGTTCAAAATTGATCTACCTGTAAAGTATCGCGTCCGTCGTCTTCATTTCCCTTTCTCACTTCATTTCCTGGTGATTGTGTCCCAAACCTCGTTTTCAAACGCAGCCGGAAGAGGCTGCATATCAGTGTTGGAACACACATGCCTTCCACTGCGTCCTTACATCCGAAACCCCATAAGAGGCAACTAGGTCTTTATCCAGCATTGGAACGCAAATGCGCTCCATTTGTTCATATGTATGAGAAAAAGTTCAGTCATAGAGAAAGGGGAGAACATGAAATAAGCACAGTATATTAGATCAATAAAAGATATAATAAAATTCATAAATAGTAAACTAGATATTATAAGTACCGTATATACTCGAGTATAAGACAAGTTTTTCAGCACATTTTTTGTCGTCTTATACTCGAGTCAATGTCTGTATTATGGCAACTTACATTGCCATAATACAGACCAGGACCGCCGGGCTCATTACAAGCCCGGCAGTCCTGTTGGGGGCCGGCAGGAAGCGTTTACATACCTTTCCTGCAGCTCCGTTCCAGTCAGCTCCACTGTAAGTCTCACGAGAGCTGTGGACACTCCAGTGGACACTCCAGGCACCCAGACCACTTCTGCCCATTAGAGTGGTCTGGGTGCCAACTCCCACTACTCTTAACCCTGCAACTGTAATTATTGCATTTTTTTTTAATATAAACAGCCACTAGAGGGCACTTCCTGATTCATAGCAAAGATTTTCTTTGCTAGAGCGTCGCTGTGTGAGGGCCTCCAGCGTCGCTCAATTCCCCATAGGAAAGCATTGAAAATCTGCATTAGTTTTCCTCAGCTGGCGGGTGGGATCAGTCTCGCCCACCGGCTGACGTGATTACTGGGAGGAGCGACGCCGACCCGAAACCACTGCTGAGGGACATAGGCGGGGTCTCAGGTAAGTGACCTGAAGGGGTTTTCACCCCTTCAGCTACCTGGGATGGGAGGTGGGAGGGAGAGGGTACCTGCAGTGCCAGGAAAACAGATTGTTTTCCTGGCACTGGAGTTTTCCTTTAATTCTGAAATTTTAGTATACATGTCCCATCAATATGTTTACATAACATAATCAAAATGTAATTAAATCAATTCCTGGGTACATTCTGGGAAGAACATTTTCACTGATTATATGTATGAAAGGGGTAGGGGAAACCACGCCCAAAAGTATGTGTACAGAAATTTATATGTACATAGATCTTTTAAGTTGTATACACAGTTGACCTCAAAGATAAAAAATACAAAAGAAATAATAGTGCAAAACAGTATGTACAGTGAAGAAGTGGTGGATAATATTGGTGGTTTTCACTCACATTTTATTGAGCTAATTCAGAGCTCAGCTGTATTGCGCATGGATGCAACAATCCCCGTCTAAGGATATATGATAATATGAAAGTTTCAGGTGCCTCAAATAAAGTGCAGTTCGCAGGACATATATAGGAGTGAATACAAAAAAACATACTCCAATGGTGAAGTAAGTACTGGTAGATACTTGAATGAAAAAATAAAGTATTGTACTTACATTTACCAGAGCAGAACGTGCTCTAGTATATACAGCATGGGTGGTATAATACCCACCTAGAAATGTGATGGTACCATGAAGCAATAGATTGATGGGTCCACTCAGTGTGCGAACCCAGTGCAGGTGCACTGACTGCTCTGGCAGTAGTTCCGACAATGTCTCTATACTATCCTATCTCTCTCACTTTCTCTCACTGTTGTTTTCAACGAATGGGCTTCAAGCATGTTAATCAATGCTCTAATATGAGGAAGGCAGTCTATAACATGTGCGTTTAAACAAGTATCACCATTAAAATTGTAATTGTTACCTAGAACTTAAAGGAACAATAAAGAAATATAAAACAATTCAGCTTGCTCAAGTGCTTTTTATCTCTGTAACCTGTCCTGTTTTCATCAGTTTATAAAAGTAACGATATCATTTGAAACCAGCACTTTTAGAATTTGGTTCAGAAATGCCTCCCTGGTTGTCCCTCAGACAGCTTGGGAGGTTTTCTTCTATATTCGTTAGCTCCACAGACACAACAGAATTGCCAGGTGTGCTGTGCTAAGGCTTGTCTGACTTCTAACTGATGTGGTGAACATTACACTGAAAAACATTGCAAAGCTGTAGTTGTGTGAGCGAGCACAGAGGCTTCTCAGTGAGGTTTTTCTGATTGGTATATTCCCTGGCACAGCCTGAAAGTGTAGGAAAGAGGTGAGGGATTGCAAAGGCTTCAGGCAGTAGGTAAATAAATATGCAATGCAGTATTACTTTCATTTAAAATTATTAAGATAATCTAGCCAAGGTATGCTTCTGTCTAGTTTCGATTTAAATGAATTATATATTTATAAGCCAAAAGAAAAACAAAGCAGGTGTAACTTGGAAATGTGACTTTTGTGCCTTTGTACAAAAAAGGTTAAGAAGAACTTTATCTTCTTTCTTTTAATGAAGATGCTCTATTGTTTTATTTTCCTGTCATTATATTGGGCAACTTTATATTTATAGCTACTCATAGCAGTATTTTCTTTCTTTTTTTTTGTGTTAAATTTACTTTCATTGTAAATATTTCCAAGAATATCTTAAAATCGACTTTTGTTTGTCTTGAAATTGCACTGAAAATTCCAAAGCTGTAGACTACATTTTGTTTGTGCCTCAAGAGAATTGTTGATCCTTTTGTGAGAATATCTGTCTGCAATTTATTTTTGGCACTCTGAAGGCAGAGAAATGAAAGTCATTCTTTGAAAAAGCTGAAGCAATCAACTTAAAAATCACTTTTAAAACCTGGTAAAGCATTACAGTTTCTTGTCACTGAGCAAATCACAAGTGCCTGATACTGATAGTCCTAAAATCTCTGCTCAGATTTCCTGTATTTTTGTTTAGGTATGTGTATGTGGAACTAAAAAAGTAAATACAATACTTGTGCATTTGATTTCAGCCTAATTGAAATTTAGGCTGATCGGAGGATCATCCAAATTCTGTAACTCCTGAGTGCCACATGGTCATATCAGCGAACAAATGAGTCCCACAATGGACAATTACGTTTATATGTTTTGTGATTCAGAATTCTGAGGTCCATTTCTGGTGCCAAGCAAAAGGGGTAAGCGGATTTATATTTATTGTTTTCGGGGGAGGGCAAAGAAGCAGTTTAGTTTGCCATGATGGACAAGAAGTCTTCCTAATAATGTGGTATGTATTTTCAGGGCCAGCCTTAGGCCATTAGGCGCCCTGTGCGAAAAGACTTAAAGGCGCCCCCCCACCAAGTTGCCTGTATACAGTCACACACACAGGCAGTCAGACAGTCAAACAAACAGTTACAAGCAGACAGTCAGACACGCTCAGTTACAGGCCGACAGTAACACATGCTCTTTTACAGGCAGACAGTCACAGAGCCAAACAAACAGTTACAGGCACACAGTCACACACACAGTTACAGGCAGACCGTCGCACACACAGTCACACATACTCCATTACAAGCAGACTGTCATACACACTCGGTTACAGGGATGCAGACACTCATGCACGCTGATAGGCACACACACTCAGTTAAAGGCATATAGTCACACATACAGGCACACACAATTGGAGTCACAGGCAGACAGTCACGCACACACAGGCAGACAGTTGCACACGCAGGCAGACAGTCACACAGACAGACAGTTACACACACAGGGAGGCAGTCACATAGACAGACAGTCACACACACAGGCAGGCATTCACACACACAGTGTATTTCTCATATTGGGTGTGCCTACCTTGTTTTATCTTTTACTATTTCCGGTTATTCCCATAGGTGTTTGGCACCCTGAGCATGTCGTTTGCTGAGATTGGCTCTTTATGTGAGAAGAGGGCAGAAGTCAAGATATATTCACAGGCAGAGGTAGATGCTTTATTGGCTTGGTTTTCTAACAGTTCTAATTTTTCTCAGAGTAATAGTATGGTTTTGTACAAAAGATTTGAATATCTTCAGAGGAAGGAAATTAATTATCAATTGCATGTTGAGACTCTAGTAGAATATTTAAGAGTTAAACGGATCCCAAGGGGCAGGAGATTGGGCATTAAGCCCTCCTTTTGGCAGTACAAACCAAAATTTGAGGAAAATTGGCAAAGGATTTTGAATAAATGTAGTTTGGATCTTATTGCACTTACTATTGAGGGATTGGAAGAGGATTTGACCAAGTTGAAGCAAGAAATCAGTATTACCAAAAGCAGAATATTGAGTACTGAGAATCACAAATCCTTCACAAAACACTCAGAGGAGATCGACAGTATTTTGTCTAAGCATAAGACAGACACCCTTAATAGGAAATTATCTGAATTTAAACGAGATACAATAGATTATTTTGATAATAAAGTTTATAATTGGCAATTTCATCGTCAGAGATCTAACGCACCCGAGGGCGAACGCCCATTTGGTAGGAATTCTCCTGCCAACAGTGACAGCGAACAATCCTCTACTGGATCAGCCAACACTAGCAATTTTTTAGAACAGCGACGCCCCAGAGGAGGAGTCATAAGACCAGGAGAGTCAAGAGATGACGCAGTAAATCATCCCCCTCGGGGATATCCAGAGAGGGAGAGGAGACCATGGAGACGTTAGTAGTGAATATTTCCAGGAAGGTTTTATCAGTCAGTGAGATCTCGGTGCTTAACACAAGGGTCTGGGTTTCGTCCCTTCTTTTGAGGGGGATAAATTGGACTTGGATATCGAATTGTATGAGTTTTTTCGTTCCTTACTTTTAAAAGTTTTTTTTTGCAGGAGACAACTCACTTTTGGACGCTCAAATGGATGAGCCTGAGATGGGGGTCAATTCTGTGGACTTATCCAGATGTAAAAATAAAAGTAAGTTTACTCCACCTGTTACTAATTCCACAGTTGAAACTTTTATAAAGTTATGTCAATTGGCGATTTCCAAATCAACTGGTCTCAGAGAGGTTCCTCCAACCTGACACAAGATGAGTGGAGGGCCGTCGGTACCCTGAGTAGCGATGACTCCACCCTCGTCTGGGCTGCTGACAAGGGTCAAAATTGTCGTCATGGACATTGACAAATACAATGCTGAAGCCATGGCACAGTTGTCTAACAGGGTTCACTATGAGAAACTATCAAGGGACCCAACGAAGGAGTTCCAGGAAAGGATTGGGGCCATTACCCTTGAGGCTTTTAATCATGATTTAATTAATAGAAAGATATTTGACTTTCTTAACACTTCAACACCTCGTGTACCTTTTCTGTACCTGTTGCCCAAAATTCATAAGGATCTTTTGTCAGGTTGTGGTTCTCTACTCTAGCCTCTGGCCCAATATGTGGACGCTTTTCTTCAAGTGTTGGTGGTACAGATGAGGTCATACATACGGGACACCAGTGATTTTTGGGGCAAATTGGATAATTTGGGATCATCATGCAGAGATGCACTTCTGTGTACAATGGACGTGTACAGTTTATACACGTCCATCCCTCACAGGGATGGCATGGAGGCTACAGCACAGGCTCTTGGCAGACTTGAGTTAGATTCGCAATTGAGTGATTTTGTTTTACAGGTACTGGAATTGGTATTATCATGCAATTATTTTACATTTGGAAATTATTTTTTTCTACAGATACAGGGGACTGCGATGGGGGCCAGTATGGCTCCATCGTATGCCAATCTGTACATGGCCAAGTTTGAGGAAGATTTCGTCTATCCCCTTCCCTTATTCAGATTTGTGACTGTTTGGTTTCGTTACATTGACAATGTGTTTTTTCTTTGGAATGGCTCAGAGGCAAACCTCCTATCCTTCAAAGCGGATTTGGATCAATATGTACCAAGTATTAAGTTTACTTTGGAACATGATGCCAATAGTATACATTTCTTGGATGTTCGGGTAAATAAACTTGATGATGGTCTGTGTTTCGACCTTTTTCAAAAAATGACTGACAAAGTTGCATTCTTGCAGGCTGACTCTTTCCACCTGACCAGCATGATCCGGAGTCTCCCTTTTGCAAACTATTACGTCTTTGCCGGATCGTGTCTCAGGAAGCAAACTTTGACACACAAGCAAGGAAGATGTTAGAAGATTTTTGTTCTCGTGGTTATAATGAAAACTGCTTGCAGGATGCACTGGCTAAAGTGAAAAACCGAGAGAGAACTTCACTACTGAGAACCGAGGGTAAGAACAAGAGAAAAATGCCCAGTCGTATTCCATGTGTTACCAAATATTTGACCAAGTCTGGTTTGGTCAAACATGTCATAAATAAGAACTGGCATGTTCTACAGAGTGACCCAGAGATTGCTGGTCTCTTCAGGGAGGATCCATCCATTCACTTCAGGTGTTTTCAATGTTTGTTTTTCTTTTATTTGGGTATATAAGAACAGGATTTAGTTTCTCTCAACAGGCTCCCTTGATAAAGGCACTTTTGATGAAACGTTGGGGGAGTTTTGGTGATTGACTCTGTCCCTGCTTCTCACTAGGTCTGGTATGCTTGTCATTTTTTCTTTTTTTTGTATTGATGTTTATGGGTTTGGATTATATTGGTGTCTCATTTTACCATCTAACATACTGACATTTTTTTTGCTACTTGTTGTGTCATGCAATTGGTGTCTATATATACATATCCAGAATTGTTCTGGTTGTTACTTTATAGTATGATATGACCCTATATCTTGGAGTTTTATGTTACCCGGCACTTCTAGCCCAGCCCCCACTGTAATTTACCCCAGACATATGCTTAGCCCCGCCCTTACTTCAATTTTTTATTTTTTATCCCGGGTGAAGAGTAATGAAATCCTCCACCCGGGTAGCCGGCAATGTGTGAGCTGTGTCAGCCATGGCGCCCTGTGTGGCCGCACAGCTCGCTCACCACTAAGGCAAGCTCTGTGTATCTTCTGTCAAATTGAGAAGTGGGGAAGAAAACAACTATACTTTCAAGCACAAGAAAACATCATCTGTTGAGGTACTACTGTTGAGTAGTTAAGTGAATACTGCACTGTTAGGAGGTCCATTTTTGTTTTTGAAACTTTATGTTCAGTCCATTGTGTGCAGTACAATAGGTGCTCTTTGCAGTGTAGAGTTTCTTAAAATCAGACACAATAATATTACAGATTATAAACTCATTTCTCAACACAAACCTATATTTAACCTTAATAAAGTTGTCTTAGTTTACACAATACACATTTATATCCCATTTTATATGGATAATAAAAACAAACCCAACATCAATGTTACATTCTAATCCCAGAAGAAATTGAGGGAAGGTAGAGGTCATCCTCCCTAAACCACTATCGACTTATGGCACACTCAGAGTCTTAATACCTTAATACTTCTTCCTCAGGCACCACCACTGCCACCACTACTATTTATAGTACAGGGCAGAGAGCCTTAAATGTCTGTTATGTTTGACTCACCACCAAGGTAGAAATGTTTTTTCTCTGACAGTTTTATGTCACCCAGACTCTACGCTAGCAGACAAATCTGTAGATACAATAGCAATGTCAGCTGGGCACATGAAGATCACCAGCTACATAATACCTTCTGCTGCCACCTCCACTGGCTATACAGTTAATTTTACTAACGCTAGTTCAAACATTAGAACTTTTTGCATCGCCTTCCACATGATTATGGATACCTCCCCAAAACTGCCCCACAGGAATTTCTATAAGGCACACCTCTTTTTGAGCATGCATTATTATAGAGTCAGTGTCAGGCAAGATGGTAGGGAGTGAGACCCAAGAGGCACCAGCTTCTGCAGGCTGTGATGAGTTCAAACCCAGGAGACCACAGTCAGAGACCACATGGAACACCATAATGGCAGGTGGAGAAGAGCAAACCCGGTCCTAACATTTTAGTAATTACTCAGAAGCTCAAGTGAGACAATACCTTAGCATAATAACTTTCAATATTAACAATTACTATACGAAATAATACATATATAAGAGGGTACTTTGTGTAAATATTTGAAGACATAAATTAATGATTACAATATCAACAAATTGTTTAACCACAAAAACAAGGCAAAATACACTCTATTCCTTTGTTTGTGTGAAACCTTTAGTAAATATTGCTAAGCAAATTCAAGTTGAAAGTTTTGCTGCTGTTGACATATACGGTTTTATTTTATTTAAGTATAAATGTATTTTCATATCCCTAAATAAATGCACATTTACAGTAGGAGCCAGGAAGCTAAAAAATGGATTAGTCAAAATGGTGGCACTCCAAGTTAAATGCATCAAAATCAGTTATGTAGTAATTATTATGTAGTATAAAGTGAGACAAAATCCTGGAGGTTGCATATATCACAAATGTCTACATTTGAGATAACAAAAGGAAATTACTATAGCAATGGCTTTTCCACAGTAAAATCAATAAAATCTTGAGTCCATTCTACATCACAATCTCTAAAGAAATATAGACGTTCTCTGCTTCCTCATCTTCTCAACGCAGCTAAAATATTAATTCCACTCTATGTAAGATCCCATTCATTAAAGAGTGGATAAGGAACTTAAGATGTATGGAGAAGATTCAGTATTTTCTAGGACACTAATATTTGGGGTCAGTGGCTTACATTTCTCCAACAGTCAGTTCTCTAAACTTTTCTCCTTTAAGGAGGAGCTTTTACTTTATCTGAGACATGGCAGTGACAGTCTAATTACCATCACTGGGGATTGTTGATATTTCTATCCATGTATTATATCCATGACAACTGGTTTTAAGCCCTCTTAGTGATCATTAGTGATGTCCCGAACGGTTCGCGATCCATTGTGAAGCTGCATTCTTAGTGAGCTGTCCAGGAGGCGGGAGGGTCTGGGAGGGAGGGTCTGCTGCTGATTGGCTGGAATGTGTCTGCTGACTGTGAAGTACAGGGTCAAAGTTTACTCAATGATGAGTCCGTGGTGAACCGTTCGTGGCGAACCGTTCGCGAGCCGTTCGGCGAACAGTTCGGGACATCACTAATGATCATATATGCCAAAACTGCAATTTTTTTTTGTTCTTTTGTTTTTCCTTATTATTGTATGTCATTTGTAATTACTTAATTTTTCATTTCCATTTCCATATGCATTGACAGACACTCGTTGTAAAACTGTATCACTGTTTGTATAACACCTATATTTCTTTTTGTTTAACCCTTTATAGACTAATGTGAATTACCACCCACATGCAACAAGTTGTACTGTCAAAAAAGAGATTTCTTTAACATCTTAATGACATGTATGAATGTGTAGGGTAAGTTGCTACCACTGTCTTAATAAGAAACAGTTTTCCAGCAAGGGGGTGTTCCCACTTAGGTTATAAGTGGTAGCATGTAGTGTTGCCTTGCGGCACTACAGTAGAGTATCTCCTTTATCCTTTGCCTCACCTGAAAAATGGCTGCAGCAGTATGTTGAGATTAAAGGGATAGGGTTGCAAACTTCCGGTCAGTCCAGGAAGAGGATAATTAGGATCATCTGCTGTGTTCCCACAAGGAAAATCTACAGAATTGATAGGTGTGGTGAAAGGGTAGAATATGAGACATACAATTTGGGAAAGTTGGAGTAAATGATTAAGGGGGAATTAGATTTACAATGATGTAAAAGACCAGAAGTGAATAAAGGAGTTTAAGAGACACACAAGGGTGTTTTTTCA